CCACTTGGCCATTTACAGACGTACGAAATACAAGTTTCTTTGAATATTAAGCTCACTCAGCCACTTCTACTTCCAGAAAGATTTGTACACGCGGTAGGAAAGGTGACGAGGTTCACGTCAGAACTTGAGATAACGTAAAGCAAAGAACGCCTTCTGAAAATTAGTAAGCAAAAATCAGGTAATCGTCGTATGATTGTGCATTTACTGCTAGAATACTCGCCTTTATAAACGGTACACCTTCGTGGATAAATTATCAGTTTGTTTCGATAACCGGAGTGGTTTTGGAGCCGTGTAGATAGTTCCTGGTTGATTAAGTCTGTAATGTGAATTTTCAGAACGCCTCGACGTTTTTACAGGTAAAGTGGTGAATGAAATTAAATTGTTTTCACTTAAAGTTATGTCAACAATCGAAACAGTGCAGTAGACAGTGAAATATCGAGTCATTTTAATATTTCCATTGTTGCTTCAAGACACGTGAAGGAGAAACTTTGGATTCATATAACGGGTGTTCATTTTTAACCCTTTCGGTGATCTCTATTGTAAAATACGAATTTCAGTGCGATTTAAACCCAGGATGTAATGCGTCCGTCAACCGTGGATCGCGACTTTGTTTTTCTAGGTGTTTCTTCTACGTAAGTTCTGTTGATAGGCGTGGCTAGTTCCTTATTTTACAACGCTGTATCTACCTCCGAGTATAAGATGTAGGATGATCGTTGAATCGGTAGGGATGTGGCAGGAGCCGTGTCCCTTACCTGTTTAATTCATGTTGGATGTGAGTTTGTGTTGCGTGCTCCAGGGGAAAGAATGTAAATATCAGGGTCTGATTTATACAAGTGCTTGAACAATGATGTTCAGTTGTTCATTACATCGGCCGCTGTATGAGGGCGTACGTCGTCTTGTAACATTTTAATGCCAGCTGAAATGTGAATGTCCCGAGTGTTATGTAGTCGCTGAACCTCGTGCAAGCATTCCTGTTAAGTAAATGAAGAATCTGAGTGTGTTGATGCTCATTCTGACTCACAAAGTCATCAGTAGGCTCGGGTGAGTGAAGTTGCTTGTCCTTGTAGCCTAGCGCAGGCCAACACTTGCTAAGCGAGCAGCATTCTCGATACTTCTGATGGTAGCTGAAATGGGAGTGAAATGTTGGCGTCTGACTCTGAGGGAGGGACATCGATTACAATTCTGTGTTTCCATTGTTGGATTGTTACTGGCTACTCGACGGTTCTGTGTCCGATTATTATTTATTCAGTGTTCTGTCTGAGGACAGGTCCATATGAACAGGATCCTTCCATCCTTTTCTGTTCTCGGACTGGGACCTGTTCATATACGTTCTTGGCAGACGATCCAGAAGTGGTTTGCCATTGCCTTCTTCTGTGTGTGAATGGAGTAATTGTTGGGATGCCACGGAGAAACCGGGGAAGCCCCCGGAGGAAAACTCCGTGTTGCCTAGACCACGGCCTTGCCCAACACAAGTTATAAATTCGGGCACCGCCGGGACCCCAGGATTACAAGGCCAGCGTGGATCTACAGAAAAGAGACTGAAATATGAAGTACATTTTATTCGCCAGAATGGATGGGCATAAACTACATCACAACCACCATGAAATCTTTGCTCAAATTAAAAAGAAACCTTTTGGTCTTTTGTTATACTCTACGTATCTTACATGAGTTGCTCTTTTCTCCGACCACCCGGTGTATGTAAATTACGTGACGACACGTATAAAGGACACATAATTAAAAACTGATAAGAACGTTGTGCTGTTTCCTCTCAGTTATTTAAATAAATGGATCTGGTTCTAGTCTAAACGTGATCGGCGCCCTTGAGGCACGGTCGATTGAGGTCCCAGCAAATATTGAACGCACGCCTCTGAGTCCAGCTCTTAAACAAAATGGAAGGCAGCCTTAATGTACAGTTGCATTATGATTAATCGTCTGTTGTTGTATGAGGGTTGAAACTGAAAATCTTGTCGGTAATTTTATTTAAAAAATAGGATATCGCGTAATTAATCATAGAAAATAGACTTAATTGCACGCAACAATGTTTATAGACGAAAAACGCTAACGATACCATCGAGTTTTCTTTAAAATAGAAAATGTGCTGTCTTTTATATACGTATCATATGATTTTAATTATTTTCTTAAACGGTGTCAACATATTGATGTTCGTAATGGTGAAATGTAGTGCTTTCTTTGCGGTACGGACTGGACTATTAAATACTGTTCATCTGAACTTCGGCTTTAAAGTGTTAAAAGTGGTTTCGTATGCAAGATTAGCTTTTGGTCTCCATGAGAACATTTCCTTGTCACTTTAAACACTAATGTCTGGGGCGTGTCTTTACGTACTCTTCGTGGAATTTAGTCTCAAGTATTTTACTGAAAGGTGTCCCCCAGATAAGATCCATGTCGTATACCATCGGCACTCTCTTTGAGTTCAATACATCGATTGATGCTTCATCTAATCTTTGGGTGTGGTACGTATAATCGCCACTGTACCAGATGCTTGTGGTATAAGTCCTAGATACCTCGGAGATTTAGTAGTATATATAGTTCTTCTTAAATTGAATATCGTAAGAAGCTGAAACTTTTTCCTTCTTCTGAAGTTTATCACACTCTTATCATAGTTTATCGGGAGTTTATTTACCTCAGTCCATTCTGTTGTAATTCTTTTCAGTTTCTTGTACGCACATGCGTGTGGAGTTCGTGTCGTATTGTTTATATTCGGTTTGAAGCTTTCGCGGAGACGTAACTCGATAAATTTTTCTAGGGTGTTCAGCCACGTCAGATGGTTAACCGATGGTTGGTCACCCTATAAAATGTTATTGCGTGTTGTTTATATTCCCGTATTTGAGTGGTATCGCCACGGTGGTCTAGCGGTTAGAACGCTGGCCTTGTAATCCTGGGGGTCTCGGGTTCGATTCCCGGCGGTGCCCGAATTTATAACTTGTGTTGGGCAAGGCCGTGGTCTAGGCAACACGGAGTTTTCCTCCGGGGGCTTCCAACAATTACTCCATTCACACACAGAAGAAGGCAATGGCAAACCACTTCTGGATCATCTGCCAAGAACGTATATGAACAGGTCCCAGTCCGAGAAAAGGATGGAAGGATCCTGTTCATATGGACCTGTCGTCAGACAGAACACTAAATAATAATAATAAAAAGTTCAGTGGTAGGATGTTACTTATTACGCGTGTCAATTTGCCACCCCACTAAATTGTTCTGAATACCTTGATAGTTTTTTAATAGAAGGTAGGATAGCAGTTGGTCATCATAATTGGCATTTAAATAAAAGAAATCAGCCATCGAAAGAAATGAATGTCTTTTGATGTATATAGGGGAATTTTTTTTTGTGTTCCAGGAAACAGCACCGCGGAGTGCTTAGCCCTTTTTCGGCTGTCCCTCAGGTCACCCACGATGCTCTCACAGGGCACAAACTTCGAAGGAAATGTTCCTCATATCTTCGTGACGTTGGGGGCTTCAGTAAGAAAATATTCATGATTATCCACGTCAGATTCAGTTGTTATGAAATATTTGTGACTCATTCCAATTTTTTATTTTCTTTCTAAGGGTGATCTGGCAACAAAGAAAATTTACCCAACTCTGTGGTGGCTGTATCGCGATGGGTTACTTCCTAGCAACACCACATTTTATGGATACGCCCGCTCGAAACTGACAACTGAAGAACTCAGGAAAAAATGTCATCAGTACATGAAGGTAAGTAATTTTTCATACTAATAATAAACATCCGGATGTCATAAAATGTGCAGAATTTTTGACTGGCTGAATCATAGCTTAAGAAAGATTTTACACCACAAAATTATTTATTATAGTAGCACGTGATGTGTGTCTTCGATTTCTGCCAGAAGTTAAAAATGTACGTGTGAAATTCTTTTACGAACTCGCATACAAGGGAAATAACAATTTGTTTTGCTGCAGGATTCGAGATTTTTCACTGTGGCAAGCATGAAGATTGTTGTCTTCTGGTATAAGTTTTCTGTTGTTTCGAAGGTCATTGCTGCTTCCATCGTCAGGGTGATGAGTCATTGCCCTGATGATGTAGGCAGCAACTACCTTCTACCGGACTACACAGCGCAAGAACCCAGAGGACAGCCATCTTCAGAATCATAACCAGAATTCATGGGGAGTCATTCGTATTTTTATTTTTTTTTTTTCAAAATATTAAATTTGTGCAATGTTAAGTCATTAACCTCATTTTCAAAGGTCAAGCCTGAAGAAGAGAAGAGGTATGAAGAATTTTGGAAATTGAATAATTATGTCGCGGGAAGTTACAACAAACGCGTCGACTTTGAGATGTTAAATCAAGCCTTGAATTTGCATGAGAAAGGAACAGCGGCTAATAGACTTTTCTACCTTGCACTGCCGCCTTCTGTGTTCGAAAACGTGACTGTACTGATCAAGAATGCCTGCATGGGAGAAAAGTAAGTAACGAAAGTACTAAGTTTGTATTTTTTTATCACTTAGT